AAATCTTCAACGCGTGGACAATGTCAGCTAACTCCAAATCGAGGACCGGATAGTTCTTCTCATGAATCTTCAACTGCCGCGAAGCATAGGCAATGACCTTGCCATCCTTTATCAACACCACACCAAGTCTAATATGAGATGCATCACAATAAACTATGTAAGGCCCTGAACCTGTGGGCAAAACCAACACTGGTTCAAATGAATCCTACGTGAATAAAAAGGGAAGGATCCAAATTCATGTGTCGTATAGATCAATATCTCAGAAATCAGTCATTGAATCGCATGCAATAAATCATCGTTCCATTATTATAACAATCACATGACATAAATCATCGTACCACAATAATATTTACCACACGGCATAAACCATCATGCCATAATAATATCAATCTCACGGAATGTCCCATCGTGCCATAATCATAACAACCACACTATGTCTCATCGTGCCAACCTCAGTCCATATAAGAGAACCATATGCATGAATGTATGTGCATGAACACGAGATAAGTATGTATGATGCATATTGACAGAGAGAAACATGTAGAAATGTATGCATGTCTGCAAAGTATGACTACAGCTACAACATATAATCCAACATACAAAATAGGCTATCATGTCCAAATAAGAAATCAAAAGCCTAGACATGATTTCTAGCACAAACAAGGATATTCAAATAGTCATACAAACAAATAATGCATGCCACAAGTAGTACATATACCAAAACAAGACATAAAGAAGCCTAAAATATGTCCATACATAGCATAACCTCGATGGCTACATATATGCTCGTCACCTCGCGTATACATCATCTCCCAAATAATTAGCATTGAGCATAGAAGTTCATTTTAGAAAAAATCTCTCAAGTTGAGGTTAAGCAAGATACTTACCTACATCCTGAGCTAGATATATGCTTCAAAATTCGCATTTTCTAGCTCCAAATCCGTTAAACAAGCCCGATCTAGTTTAAAGAATACTCAAATAAATAAAATAAAGCTATAGAAATTAATTTTAAATTATAAAACTTCGATCTTTAATAATATTTTAAAAGTCAACAAAATATTAATATGGACCCACGTGGTCAAAACTCGAGATCAAGATCAAATTTCGATGACGCATAACCTTTCGAGTTCGAATATTTATTTGTTTTCAAATTCGAGTTCAAATCGATCTTAAAACTATCAAATTCACTTTCTTATGTTTTGGTTCAAATTCCCTTTTCTCTCTTTGAAATCCTTGGTTCTACGGCAAAATCAAAGATAGATTCCTGTAATAATCATAAACTCAAGTTATAATTACTTATTTCAATGAAGTAGATAAAAATTCCCTAAAACTTACCTCAATCCAAACTCTCTATCTCCCAAAATGGCAAAATAAACTCTGGATATGAAATGAGACTATTTAAACAAATGCTGAAAAGTGGTTGTTGCTGCAATTTTTATCTTTATTGCAGATTTTTGTTGGTTTTTGCCTTAAACATTTTCCCTGAATATCCTAAAACTCACCCCCCAAACCTCTGGAATCCCTTTAAACTATCTCAACAAGTTCAAATACCCTATATGATCTTTTTTAAGTTTCCAAAACACATATGGAAACATCACAATTAAGAATCAAGGTGCAAATCAAATTTAATAACTTTAAGAAACCTTCAAGCTATAACTTTATCATAATAGTGCTGAATCACACTCGAGCCTCTCGGGTGCTAAACCGAACATACTTAGAAGTCCAAAATAATCATGTTAACCTGGAAAAATCTTCAAATTATGAATCTAAATTCGTTTTGCTCAAAATGTTGACTTTAGTCAACTCTAGGCATTTTAAGCTTGTAATTCAAATTCTAATGTTCCGAAACGCTTTCGAACCCTTTGGGGACCGTGCCATCCATACCCTCAAGGGTAGAAGTATAGAAATAGCCACTTTTAATCCCGCTATTTAAAATATACCCACAATTTATAATATATTTAAAGATTAGCCAATTCACCCAAACTTCAGGACTAAGTATCCTGAATTTGGAAATTCAGGACTTAGTGTCCTGAATTTTTGAGCTGCTAATATGGAATTCAGTACTAAGTGTCCTGAATTTCTGAACTACTAATTTAAAATTCAGGACATAAGATTCAAACTTTAGGACACGATGTCCTGAAGTTTGAATTTTGAGTTTTAAATTCTAGGACGTTGTGTTCTGAAGTTTGAGCGAAATTGGTAATCTTTAAATACATTGTAAACTGTGAATATATTTTAAACAACTTGCTTAAAAGTTGGTTACCTAATGTCAGTTCCACACCCTCAGTCATAATAAACCTATGAAAAGTCTCAAATAAGAAAACAAAGTACTAAAACTCAAAACAACTTCACAACTTGATGAATTATCATCTTTAATGGTGGAGGCAGGACTTCTATGAAGGGGATTCAAAAAATTAAAAAAAATTAATATACAAATAAGTCAAGGACAATTAATATCTGTCTCTCTCTCTCTCTTTTTCTTTCTCTAAATATTATATATATAATAATTTTAATTTTATTTACATCGTGTAATTCCCCAATGAAGAAACTTCAACATCATCATTAGGCTGCAAAACACTGTAATACAAGGGACATGGAGAAGACTAACAAGAAGGGTCAATGGAGAAGGGTGAAGATCATTCACCATCATAATACTAGCAGCACTGGTATACTATATATGGAAGGCTCGAAATGAGACTCTATGGCATCAGAGAGTCCCTAATTCAAGAACGGTATGTGAGCAAATTCAGCAAGAATGCAAATAACAACTAATAATACTCTAAGGGATCGTTTGGTAGGGTGTATAAGAATAGTGCGGAATAAGGTGTATTAGTAATGCATGGATTAGTAATGTATATGTTAGTAATGCAAGCATTAGTTATGCAGATATTATTTCTTATCTACTGTTTGGTGTGGTGTATTAAAATTATAATGCATTACATAATTTTTAAGAAAAATAGTTAATTACAAATATGCCCTCCATATTCTCTAGCTTTAAGGGACTTTAAGGATAATTTTGTCTTTAACCATACTAATGCATGCATTAATAGCCTTGGTATTACTAATGCCATGGTTTTCTATGCATTACTTATACATAGGATAATACCAAGTATGATGTATAACTAATACAAGTATTAGTTATATATAGGTTGAAAAAATGTACCAAACAATATATTAGTAATGCATAAAGCTAATGCTTGCATTATTTTTTCTAATACCTCCTACCAAACGACCCCTAATAAAGTAAGTAGGAGGTATTGGGAATGGATAGAAAGATTATACAGATAGAGGACATCAAGGGTGAATTTACATGGACCCAAGCGGTGTCACGGGACACCGCTTCGTCGAATTTTTTTACTACATATATATGTAAATAATAAGTAAAACAAAAATTACAGATAAAAGGATTAAAGGTGACACCACTTCCATCGAAATAGCTTAGTAGTCCAACGGTTGTCAGCTTCAGCCTTCAGATTCGGTGTGAGAGGTCACGGGTTCGACCTCCCTTAGCTCCAAAAATATATTTTTCGACAGTTCACTTAATTTGAAAATGTGGCTGCTAATTACGGGCCTATTTCTAAAGTATGGGCTGTATTTAAAAATTGTTTGACCACTTTACAAACTACTTGATCATACAAGCAATTATTTAAAACCCTTCTGAAATAGGATTTAGTACCGTTTCTTTACCCTCAATTATACACAGACGGCCTTAATTAGTATAAAAAGGACTGCCCACTTTTTAGTTTTCAAACTCCAAAAAACCTAAATTGCACCAGGTTAGTACTAATTCTTTGTCTCTTTCGATGATAATCTCTTATTATGTGCTTGTTCTTTTACTTTTTTATTTCTTTACGACTAGAACTATGGATCTATGATGGTAATTTTGAATTTATAATTGATTTTTTTGGGAATGATTTTGGGGGTTATTCAAATTGTTAATTATAAGTTATTCCCGTGCTGGTCATGTTAACATAGTTTGACTAATTCATGTGATTGTAAATGTCGAAATTAGAGTATACGAGTGCATGGTATAGATTTGCTCCTAGTTTATTTCTTTCTATTTTCTTATTATAATGAACTTATTTAGGATTTATCTAAAGAATAAAGTGGATACTTGAATTTTGATTCAGATTAAATTACAATGAAGAGATACTATCCTACAACTTCCAAAATCAAGTTCAACATCTCAAGATTTATCTAACTTGGAAGAAATAGCTAATGAGTCGGAACAACATCAACAAAGTGAAAGAGTTAATTTAGGCTCTTTAGAGGTTGATCTTGGGGAAAGATTAGCAATTCGAAAATATCGTCCAAATGATCGTGATGCAATACGAAGAACATATCTTCAAAGAGGTGCTTTCCAACCTCGAGAACACAAATTTCCTCAAAGAAATTTTTATGGCAAATTGCGTCGCTTTAATCCTCAATGGTTTTCTGAGTATGATTGTTTGGAGTATAGCATAACAAAAGATGCAGCTTTTTGCTTCTATTGTTATTTGTTTCAAGATGAATGCATCAATCAAGGGGGAGGAGATGTATTTTCAAGTATAGGATTTACAAGTTGGAACAAGAAGGATAGATTTGATATGCATATTAGTGGACCAAATAGTATTCAAAATCAATCAAGAAAGAAAAGTGAAGATTTGATGAGACAAAAACAATTCATTCAAAGTGTACTTGCTAAACAATCTTATCAACAAAAGCTAGAATAACGGATTCATTTAGAGGCCGTGGTTGATGTGATAAGATATTTTTTACACCAAGGATTATGTCACGACCCAAACTGAAGGGCCATGACTAGCACCCGACCACACTTGCCGAGCACCNCATTTTGAGGGCATCGTGAAGATGAATTATCTCTTAATAGAGGTAACTGTATTGAACTTCTTAGATGGTATACTAAAAGATGTGATCATGTTGCCGATGCATTTAAAAAAGCTCCAAAGAATAATCAATTAACTTCTCCTTACATTCAAAAGGATATTATTACTGCATGTAAGATGGAAACAGTTAAATGTATCATTGAGGATTTAAATAATGATCACTTTTCTATATTAATTGATGAATCTCGTGATGTATCATGTAAGGAGCAAATGGCTATTGTTTTGCAGTATGTTGATAGAAGGGGAAGTGTGATAGAACGATTTATTGGTATTGTTCATGTTCGTGAAACTACTGCTTTGTCTCTAAAGAATGGAATTGTTGGTTTACTTGCTCAACATTCTTTAAGTCCATCTTTCATACGTGGACAATGTTACGATGGAGCAAGCAATATGCAAGGTGATATAAATAGGCTTAAAATCTTGATGCAAAAAGAAAGTAAAGTTGTTCATTCTATTCATTATTTTGCTCATCAACTTCAACTAATTCTTGTTGCGGTTTCTAAAAGATGTGATGAAGTGCAAGAACTTTTATTAGTTGTTTCTGATATATTAAATATGGTGGGATCTTCTTTCAAACGTAGAGATGAACTTCGTGAATCTCAAGCAGAAGAAATTGAAGAAGCATTACGTAAAGGTGAGCTTGAAACAGGAAGGGGCTTAAATCAAGAATTAGGTCTTGCTAGAGCTGGTGATACTCTATGGGGCTCTCACTACAAATCCTTTAACAATTTTATTCTTATGTTTGGCCTTATCATTGATGTACTTGATGCTATTGCTATTAATGCACGTTTTGACGAAAAGTGTAAGGCAAAGGGATACCTTAAAGCATGTTTAACATTTGAAGTTGTCTTCATGTTGCATTTTATGCGCACTATTTTAGCAATCACAAATGAGCTTAATGTTGCCTTCCAAAAGAAGGAGCAAGATATTGCAAATGTTATGATACTTGTTAGAGTGGCAAAAGATCAGTTGCAACGTCTAAGAGAGGATGGTTGGGCTTCACTTATTGATGAGGTATCTAAGTTTTGCATCAAATATGACATATTGATACCTAACTTTGATGAGCCTTATGTTATCCTTGGAAGATCACGTCATAGAGTTGCAGAGTACAATAATTTACATCACTACCATGTTGTAGCATTCTGTAAAACTATTGATTGGCAATTTCAAGAACTCAATAACCGCTTTGATGAGGTGACAACTGAATTGCTTCTTGGAGTTGCTTGCTTGAACCCAGTTAACTCCTTTTCAAGCTTTGACATTGAAAAGATATTGAGATTAGCTAAGCTATATCCTGATGATTTTGATAAATACTCTATAGTTGACCTTCGTTTTCAGCTTGAGAATTACATTGTCGATGTCAGAGATCATGATAAAAGGTTTTCCGCTCTTAAGGGACTTGGTGATCTTTCTAAGAAACTAGTAGAAACAAAGAAGCATGGGACTTATCCTCTTGTGTTCCGGCTAGTGAAATTTGCTTTACTTTTGCTAGTTGCTACAGCTACGGTTGAAAGAGCTTTCTCGACAATGAAGTTGATTAAGTCTGACTTACGAAATCGAATGGATGATGAGCTTTTGAGTGGTTGTTTAGTGCCTTATATAGAAAAAAAGTATTTAGTAATATTTCTAATGAGGCTATTGTGGATACATTTCAAAACATGAAAACTTGCCGAGGAGAATTGTAGTAGTGTACTTGAATTGTGTTTCGTTAATAATTTAAGTTGTCTTTTTATAATATGATATATATATATATATATATATATATATATATATATATATATATATATATTACAATATTTTATTTAATTGTTCACTCTTTTAAATAGTGACACCGCTTATATAAAACTGGAGGACATGATACATTGAACACATAGGGAGCATTTCCTGCGACTATGGAGAGATTATAGGTAGCAATACGAAGCTTTCTTAGTATGTACAGTCTTACATCGTATACCTCATACAATTATTGTTGGGATGATTAATAATATATTTTTTTTTCGCCCAAAATAAAAACATTGAATCATGCTTCGGAATGCATTTAGTATTTAACTCAAAACCTGATTACTTTTACATTACCAAAGCTTATACATAGTCAAGTGGTGATAATCTTTTACAAAACAAGTGTGAGTTCAATTTTCATGACAACACTTTGGGGGCAACCCGACCCTGTTTGATCCGGGTCTGGACAAGCTCAAACTCCGAGATCCGACAAGGAATAGTAATCCCACCCGGGTGAATAAACCCATACTCATCTTCAACCTCCCTCAACAATCTACTAAACAAAGGATGATTAAAATATATTACAGGAACCATAACTCTTTTAAAATCTCCATCTTTTTGTCCCACATAAACTGCCATGTGACCTTTTGGCACAACCATAGATTTCTCTCCAACTGGTTCTTGCCCGATTTGTATGTAACCTCGACTCGAACCCGACCCGGACCCGGAGCAGTGAATTTTTGAGCAAATAGCCTTGGCTTTGATCTTGAGACTTTTTGTCCAGTTTAAGAATTTTGAAAGGGGTTTTGGAAGTAGGTTATCTTTTTGGTACTTCGCCGGCGATATCCTTCGCCGGAATGTACGCCGGAGAAGTGCGGTGACCCGATGTTTGAGAACAAAACCTTGGATCTTGCCCATGTGTTAAGTTATATATATCACTACAAGAAAAATAGCTTCTAGGGACGGAACAAAAAAGTAGTGCTGGTCCCTAACCGTTAATAACCACTAGCAAAATCCAACAGTCACGTGTCGTTACTACAATTTTTGCTATTTTAGGTACCATATACTATACTAGGAAACAAGGGAAGAGCTCAAAAAGCAAGAAAATATACAAATGAAATAATGTGTTATTGTGTGTGTTGAAGAAAAAGGATATGGACGTAACTAGCAGGAATATGTGGTAATGTAATAGTCCGAGAGAGAAGTGGCCAGTGGGTTTATCGAACATTGCTATTAGAAGATGCTTGTTTCATTCAAATACATATAATGGAAATTATTTTAAAAAGGAGGATAAAGCAAGAGCTTGCTTAAAAGAGTCAAATCAGAGAAAAACGTGGGAGTGGACGGGAGGAGGAGGAGAAGAAAGTGGACTAATAGTAAAAGAGAAATAAAGAAGTATAATTCAAAGAAGAAGAAAACAGTATGTATTCCTTGAGAAGTAGGAGTACTTGTTTGACTTTATCTACGAATTTGGAGATCCAAAATTTTGGAGAACTTCGTGATATCTTTTTTTAGTCAATGTGGGGGTGTTTAATATAATTCAGAAGTCGAGTATTTTTTTTTTCCGTAAGAAAAAAGATATAAGATTTTTTCTCCTTTTTGTGGTTTGATACTACTAGTCAAAGATTGAGGGCTAATTAATAAACATATCAGAAAAATACATGTGAATGAATAAATAAATTGCACATAACAGAAAGAGAACAATTGTTTAATGGAAAAAACAAGGAGAGGGTACATAATGTAATTTGGTAGGTATGGGATTGAGACGGCTTTGGCAATTGGAAGTTTCAACTTTCCTCTTACATGAGTCAAACATGCTAAAGGCAAAAGGCCGCATCCATGAGAAAAATAAAGGTACAGTTTTTATCTTTTTATTTCATATTTTTGCTTTAGTTCCCCCCTGCAATCTCAATCATCCAAGAATTATTTACTTTTTTAGTTATATTGTATGTGCCACTCTATTGTTGTTCAATTTTAAAAAATTACACATTCATATATTTAGAAACGATTTCACTTTAAATTTTTCATATTAACTTTGTGTTATAATTTTATAACTACAAAAATGACATCAATTATTTAAAACCAAAAGTTTTAAAGTATTACGTTCTTTCTCAAACTTTGTGTTCAATCAATAAATTTGAATAAAATAAAATAGAGGAATTACTTATTTTCATAGTATCATTATGAATCCCAGAATTGCGTAAATTAAGATTTTTATGATATTGAATGACACTGTCATGCTCAGTATAATATGATTAATGCAGTGGGTTGTACAATAAAAAATAATCACGTTTTATTTGTTGATTATGCATCCAAAATTTAATTCACTCCGACGAGAGGGATGCTCAGATGGTCAGCATACTCCACCTATAACTTCAGGAGTGTGGGTTCAAGTCACCAAAGGAGTATAGCTATTTCCAACAAAAGGATCAAAAAAGAAAGAAAAAACTCCTAGAGGTTTATTTACTGATGATGTCAAAAGATAATTACTATGCCTAATTATTAACATCGTATAAATATTATTTACGCCATTATTGCATAAAACTTAAACACATATAATTCAAGATATAAGAGCATTATAATTTCACGGCTCGGAGTTTTGCAATAATGCTCCTTTTTTTTTATTCAGATAAACTTAATGCATGCTAAAGTCAGAAATTCTCCTTCCTCTAGAAGCAAAAAAAGAAAATGTAAAATGCAGCAAAATAAGTTATAACAGTTCCGCTCATTTGTGAGGAGGCTTTGTTTTTGGTGGTAAGTAATCCAAATGGAACTCGTTCGGTTGATCCTCCATATTCTGATCCTGAATTTTGCAAGATACAAAAACATGACCAAAATCATTATTGTGATTCTCTTGTTGTTTTATACTATTTCTTTTGTCAAGAGCACTGTCAGCTTCATCTTTCTGATTTCCCTTAAGCTTATTTGGCTCTGACGAAGATTTTGTTGCGGAAGCCAAATGTATATAGTGTGAATAAGTCACAACTACTATACCAAAAATTA